TCCAACATCTGCAGCTGGTGCTTGTCTTTTTTAAAATATTTTCTTTATTATTTTTATTTTATGTATATGCATGTATTGCCTGCATGTATGTGAGTGCACCCGTGCTGTGCAATGCTGCGGAGGTCAGAAGAGAGTTTCCAATTCCCCTGGAACTGGAGTTAAGGATGGTTTGTAGCCACCATGTGGGTGCTGGGAATCAAACCCAGGTCCTCTGCAAGAGCAGTCAGTGCTCTTAACAGCTGAGCCATCTCTCCATCCCCTGGCTCTTGTCTTTGACTTTATCTCTGAAGCCCCTCTGCAGAAGGAGGCCCTCCTAGGGACACGGGAGACTGATCCTGGAACCCTCCTGTGGGTGAGGACCACAGGGTCACTCATGTACCTGAAGGATTTGCGGGGAGCTGTGTCCACCACCAACTTTTATTTTCAGGCAAATCAAAAGCATGTCAAAGGGCTCCTTTGACTTTCTTCTGTCTTTCTGAGCACTCAAAGAAGAGCAAGCCTTCCACCAAGATTGGATACATTTAAATGACATCACCACTTTCTCAGCCATGCGTGGTTTAACTGTTTCATGGCTTACTCATGGCAAAGATCTCATTGAGATTTGCTTTCCCCACCTCCTAACACAGGTCCCTGCTGTGCCCCTGGAGCATAATTCTATTGACAAGCAAGAGTTCTAGAAACAGAATATTGTGATACAGTAAAATATCCAATATAAATCATCCTTCAACATGGACAGTCAGTGCAGAAATCATTTTGGAATTATAGTTGTTCTCCTTTGTAAAGCCTTCTTCTGGGCTGACAAGATGACTTGGTGGGTAAAGGCACCTGCCACCAAGCCTGATGAACTGAGTTTGAGTCCCAAAACTCACATAGTGGAAAGAGAGAACTGACTCCCACAAGTTATCCTCTGACTAGATATGTGCTATGGTACATGTATGCCCACACATAAGTAAATAAGTAAGTAAATAAATAAATGTAAAAATTTTAAGTCCTTTTAAAAATATTGAGGAAAGAAAATACAGGGTAAAATTTGTTAAGAAGAAAAAAAATACATTTATTGCAAAAGTTCTTTTAATGTGATGCTTAAAACCTATTTGAAAAATGCATATGAAATAAATATAACAATTTAACTGCCATACAGTGACCTTTGTACACTAATTATACACGACGTCTGTGCAGTCATCACCAAGGACAGGAACTGAAATACTGCCAGTCTCCAGCACAGAGCCATCCCATCATAATCACCTCAAACCACTCTCCCAACCCCA